ACTTCCCTAAGGGAGTAAATCTTTCTAGGGAAAGATCTTATACAAGATCTCTTGCCTCCTAGTCCAATTCTTCTACCACTAAAAATAAGTTAATAAATATCTACCATAGGTGCCAAGGTTATACATTTTATATGTATGTGCCCACCCCATGCTCATTTCCTTCTCCTATTTAAAGCCAAGACTTCCACCTGTATGTTGATCCTATCCTCTCCTCTTACTTTCTCCAGAGTTTTATATTATTAATAGTTCTTTTTTTTTGTAGTATATTCAACCTCTTATTCTTAACTGGATTATTTCCACTGGCCTTTAATCATGTCCAAATCTATTACTTTAAGAAAAAAATAATGACGATTTGAGGGTGGGTCTGTAGGGGCTGAGAAGAGGGAGGTAAAGGGGGTAAAAGGAAATGTATCTGTAATACTATCAAAAGTAAACTATATATATTAAAAAAAGAAAAAGGAAGGGCAGCCAAAACCGGTTTGGCTCAGTGGATAGAGCGCTGGCCTGCAGACTGAAAGGTCCCAGGTTCGATTCCGGTCAAGGGCATGTACCTTGGTTGTGGGCACATCCCCAGGGCGTGTACAAGAGGCAGCTGATCAATGTTTCTCTCTCATCAATGTTTCTAACTCTCCATCCCTCTCTCTTCTTCTCTGTAAAAAATCAATAAAATATTTTAAAAAAAGAAAAAGGAAGAGCAAACTCATTTGACCCTTCATACTCCCGCTACCAGATTCTGCTCTATTTTTTCAAAGTCTTTCACCTCCAAACACTTGCAAAGTACTCTCCATACTGTCAGTTGTTTTCCTCTTCTTTCATCCCACTTGACTCTGTCTCTGACCTCACACTCCAGCAAACATTTCTCTCTAAGGTCACTTATGACCTCCATAATACTAAATCCAACAGAAATTTTTCAGGTATCAGATTCTCCCACTTCTCAGCAGCATTTGTCCTGTGTGACCAGCTCTACCATCTTGAAACATGTTCTTCTTTGGGGATTAGTGTACAATCACTCTCCTGATTTTTATCCCACCTCTTTGCCCATTTTTTCCCCTCAGTAATGTTTGCTGGCTCATCAATTCCACCTAGCCAGTTACATAAGACTTGATATTAGTTCTTTATGTCTCACTCTCTACTCTCCTTGAGTGAGTTAGAGCACAAGGCTTCAATAACTATCTATGTACCATCAGGCCCCAGATTAATATCTCCAACTCAGAGCTCTCTCCCCACTGAAAAATGTCATCTCTCTCTTTTTTAAATCTCAACCGAGGATATTTTCCCATTGATTTTTAGAGAGAGTAGAAGAAAGAGGGAAAGACAGAGAGAAATATAGATGTGAGAGAAACACACCAATTGGTTGCCTACTGCACGAGTCAGGACCAGGGCCCAGACCAGGCCTGGGAGAGCCTGCAATCAAAGTTTGTGCCCTTGACTGGAATGAAGCCCGGGACTTTTCAGTCCACCGGCCAGCACTCTATCCAATGAACCAAACTGGCTAAGGCTCATCTCTTCTGAGATGGCTCAAAGACTCCTCAAAATCAACATGTCCAAACAGAAGTCTTTATTTTCTTTACTGAAGATGACACTATTAAATGTTTCATATCTCAGTGAAAGTCACACTCATCAATCAGGTTATACAACCTCCAAACCTAGAACTAATCCTTGCTATTCCTCATTTCTTTCTTAAAAAAAAAATTATATATATATATATATATATATATATATATATATATATATGATTGATTTTTTACAGAGAGGAAGAGAGAGGGATAGAGAGTTAGAAACATCGATGAGAGAGAATCACCGACCAGCTGCCTCCTGCATACCCCTCACTGGGGATGTGCCCGCAACCAAGGTACATGCCCTTGACCGGAATCGAACCCGGGGCCTTTCAGTCCACAGGCTGACACTCTATCCACTGAGCCAAACCAGTTTCGGCTATTCCTCATTTCTTATATCAAGTCCATACCAAATCTATTATTTTATTTTCTTATTACATCTTAAATCCATCCACTTCCTTCTACTTCCACCTTCTTCCTCTAATCCCTACATGCTGCTGCCATTGTCTCCCCACTAAGCGAACACCCCTCTAACTGGTCTATTGACATCTATTTCTCTCTCAATCATTGGTCTATACTGCAGCCAGATTGATGTTTTCAAAATTCATATCTGTCCCCTTCCCCACACTCCTCAACACATATTTCTAAAACACTGTAAAAGCTTCTTGTTCTTCTTAGGAAAAAGACAAAATTCTTTCATATAGCCTGCAAATCCCTGTTTGCTCTGGTCTCTGCCTACTTCTTCAGCTCATTTTGTACCATGTTCCCTCCCACAGTTGTCATTTTAAATGCACATGGCTTTATTTTTTCCTGTTTGAGCATAATTATCAGACATTTCCTACCACAGGGCTTTTGCACAGGTGGTTTCCTCAGCTGGGAACACTCATCTCTTTCTTCTTTTTTTGGTTAACTCCTTCTAGGCTTCTTAGATATCAGCCCAAGCATTATTTCCACAGGGAAGATTTCGGATGAAGTCAAGTATCCTTATCAGAGCTCTACTAGTACCAGATATTGATTTATTACCATTGCAGTTGCACATTTGTGTGAATATTTCAGTAATTTTTTTTTTCTCTTCATCACTACTCATTCACTCACTCAACAAATATTTACTAAACCCCTTACTATGTTCCAGGCATTATTTTAGAAAGGTTGACAAACTGTAAAAAATAAGCAATATGATGTCAAGAGGTGAAAAGTGCTATGAAGAAGTAAAAAGAGGTAAAAAGATTTGGCTGACGTGAGAGAGCAAGTCCTGAGGATGTCTGGGGTGGTGGTGGTGAGAATTTCAGGGAGAGAAAATAGAGAGGGTAAAGACAAGAGGGAATTTAACCTGTTTGAGGAACAGCCAGGAATTCAGTGGGGCTGGAGTGGAGCAAAGGAGAGAGTGGTAAGCGATTAAGCCAGTGAGGGGCCAGGTCATTCAGGGCAGTGTAGCCATGAGACAGGGAGAGATGTCATTGAAAGCTTTTAAACAAGAAGTGCCTGAGCTATTTATACTAATAAAAGGGTAATATGCTAATTAGACCAAGAGACCTTCTGGACAAAGCCATGGTGGCAGGGCCCACGCAGTTAGGGGTGATCAAGCCAGGAGGGGAGGGCAGTTGGGGGTGATCAGGCGGGCAGGCAGAGGGGGCAATTGGGGCAAGCAGGCTGACAGTGGGGCTTGTTGGGGGCCAGAAGGCTGGTGGGGGGCTGTTGGGGGTGAGCAGGCCAGCAGAGTGGTTAGGGGCAATCAAGCAGGCAGGCAGGTGAGTGGTAAGGAGCCAGTGGTCCCAGATTGTAAGAAGGATGTGTGACATCCCCTGAGGGGTCCCAGATTGGAGAGGGGGCAGGCCGAACTAAGGGACACCCCCCTTCCATGTACGAATTTCGAGCACTGGCCAAAATTAACTAGTAGTTAATAATATTGTACTGTAGCCGAAACCGGTTTGGCTCAATGGCTAGAGTGTTGGCCCGCGGACTGAAAGGTCCTGGGTTCGATTCCAGTCAAGGGCAAATACCTTGGTTGCGGGCACATCCCCAGTAGGGGGTGTGCAAGAGGCAGCTGGTCCATGATTCTCTCTCATTGATGTTTCTAACTCTCTATCCCTGTCTCTTCCTCTCTGTAAAAAATCAATAAAATATATAATAATAATAATAATAATAATAATAATAATAATAATATTGTACTGTATATTTGAAAGCTGCTAAGAGAGTAGATCTTAATTCTTCTCATCAGAAGAAAAAAATTGTAATTATGTATGGTGACAGACGTTGACTTACTGTGGTGATCATTTTGCAATATATACAAATACTGAATAATTATGTGGTACACCTGAAACTAATATAATGTTCTATGTTAATTTTATCTCAATTTTAAAACATCTATCTCACAGGGGTATGATCTACCCTCCCCCCACCCACTGCCCCCTTAGCTCCCTCCTCTCCAGCAATATTTGTCTTCTCACTCTTCTGTGAAGAGACCAAGCATGATCCTATAATACCTTTTGCATTTGATGTTCCCTCAAATGTCAGAAAGCAGGTATCAACATGGTTTCCTGCCCCCCCACACCTCCCTGCTGCCTCAGGGTTCTGCTCAAACTTCTTCTTATCAAAAAGTCCTTGACCACCCTATATAAATTATCACCTCACCCCTACATTGTGAATTTTCCAGGTTAATTTCTCTTTGTAATACTTATTGCCATCCCACATATACATTTAATATACATATGTATATGTACATACAAACATGTACTATGTCTGTATTTATTCCATGAAGGCAAAGATGTGGTCTGTTTTGATCACTCTAGAACAGAACTCCCAAAATAGTGCCTGGCACACAGGTATTTAATGAACATTTGTTAAATTAATATTGTTGAAACAGAGAATGAGAGGAGCAAAGCGTAACTTCAGGGTTTGGAGCCTGAATGATGGTGCCACTTCCTGAAGTAATATTAAAGATTTTTCAAAATGAGTATTGGGACCCCCTGCTCCAAACTTCCAGCTGGAGTCCCTGAACTGCTTTATCTATGCAGGTTCAGCAAAGTAATGACTTCCTCTCGGGCCCATTGAAACCTGTGACAAATCTTTAGAATCCCGGGGGTCTGGGCTCTTCTCTTAGCAGAGGGAAAGAGGGAAAAAATAGTGATAAATTAAACAGACTCTCTCAATTTCTGAGACTCAAAATGACATCAGTTTGATCCAAAGCCCCACTACTGATGCTTCAGACGTTATTGACTCTGTGTGTGGTTTCCTGACAAACAATTGGCTGCCTACTTTAAGAGACAATGTTGCTAAGTGCTTTTTTTTAATGCAAAAGAAAGAAATAAAAAAGAGCTACCTATTTTCCTCATTCCTGCAGGTGCCCAACCCGATTGACTTGTTGGAGTGCATTTTCTGCATTCTTAATAGATAGCTAGCAGGAAATGCCTTTTATAGCCCTTCTAGAGTGGCAGAGAGCAGCAAGGGGAGGGTACAAAATCCCCAGCCCCTGCTTCCGCAAGCACTGAGTTGCTATAAAAGGCGCCAGGCATCAAAACGCACCTTTGACCAGCCATAGTTCCACATCTGCATCTTTCTCTGGCTCAGCTCATGGTCTGGAATTAAGGTAGGAGAAGCTGGGGAGTGATGGAAATTCAAATGGAAAGGAATGGACCCAGGGCTAGGAGGGTAGGGAGCCGTGAGCATCATATGCTTTGCTCAGAGAGATACAATCTAGCCCCTTTGGGGCTTTTATTCCAAGTGATCCTTGTGACAGTCTCTGACGCCTCACTCCACCCTTCCCCTCCGGGTGCTGGGTACCAGTTTGCAGAAGGGGGGTAAGTGTGTCTGTGCACACGGACTGTGGTAGAGTTGGGGCCAAACAGCTGGTATGGGGATTCCATGTTAAAATATTTGTGCAGAGGATTGGGCAATATTTTTGAGATCTATTTAAACACTGTATTTTGTGCGCAGGGGAAATTGTAAGCTCGGTGTACTTTTGTAACTTCGCTGTTCTCACTGCATAGCTATCAGAGTTTGGCCTTGGGGCTTTATTTGCAAGAGGATTTTTACTACAAGCCAGTACTTATACAGAAACATCTTCTCTAGGAAAGCCCCCATCCTTTCTCCTGCTTCACTGATATCCCCTCAGTTCCCGCTTCGCAGCATCTATTTCTAAGCAAGACCCATCCTGACCAATTCACTCACTAATAGAGATCCCTCACAGAAGGCTCAGTGGAGAACGAAACTACTCGAGTTTCTCCAAAGGTGCAGTGAGATGCAGATCTTCCAAAGATAAGTCACGTAGCAGTTCTCTGAATGTCAACATCTCTAGACTACAGATCCTGTCCATTGAGACCCAAGTACAGCCCAGACAACTGTTTGTGAGCTGGATAGAGAAAAGTCACTCATGGCATTTCTTTGAAAGCATGTCAGTGTTTTGGGGGAGGAACAGAGGGACAGAGGTGTACTTGTGGTTTACTTAAGATCCTCAGTTCTAGGGTCTGAGCCCTTCAAGATGATGAGGCTGAAATGCTGCCTCTGATTTTCTCTATCTCTACCCTTTCCTGCCTGAGGCCAGGTAGCCTGTGGTCTCTTCCCAAGGACAGGACATGCTTTAGAAGAGCCTTGAGGTCCCAAAGGTCTAGCTAGCAGTTTCTCTAGTGGTTTCAGGGAGACTTGGCAAAGATAGGAAGCAAGCTGTGTCAAGCCTTAGCCTGGAGCCATGGCCACTGGCAGTTTGGAGATTAAGAGTCTTACAAAGGTGCTAAACGGCTCTTGAAGGGAGAGGCTTCAAAAAGAAGCCCCGAGGGGACTCATGAATGTTCTGTCCTCATTCTGTAAAAGAAACCCAATGGCTGGATTAAGGTCCTAGCTCAAGGTCCTCTAGAAATTAGAGGCCATGTCCTCACATTTGGTAGATGGGGAGACTGAGGCCCACAGAGGGCAAAGGGTTATTCGTTCCACCAGGTAGACACTAAAGGACAATGGACAGACATTGAAGCTACCTGGGTTTACATCCCAGCTCTGCCACCACCTAACTGTGTGGCTGGGCAGCTTATTCACATTCTCTAAGCCCCCATTTGCTCATCTATAAAATGGGGATAATGATACCAACTATGAGGGTTATAAAGTTTGGAGGAAATATGTCTGTTTCTGTCACAAAATGGGTATTCTGTAAACTGTAGCTTTAGAAAAAGTGCTGCCTCCACATTTATAATTACTTTTTAATTCATAACACCTTTGCTTTATTTTTTGAAATAAAGTTGACATTATATTATGTGACTTTATGGTGTACAACATGTTAATTTGGTAAATTTATATATTATAATATGATTACCATGGTAACCACATTAACACTTCTCATGTTATATAATTATCTTTTTTAAGAGTTGGAATAATTAAGCTCTAGTATCTAGCAGTTTTGATTATGATAATACAGCATTGTTGTCTATATTCATTGTATTGTACACTAGATCTCAAGGGCTTATATACAACTTGTAGATTTATACTCTCAAACAACATCTGTTCCTATTCTCTGATCACCATCTTATTTTCTGTTTTTACAAGTTTGGCTTTTTAAAAGTTCACATCTAAGTGATAACATGCAGTACTTGTCTTTGTCTGACTTATCTCATGATGTGCTCATTGCTTCATTTCTACAACTCTGGGCATGTGAATATATCATTTGCTTTGTCATTGAGGAATAATTTCTCTATAGCAAAATTCACAAATCTTAAGTGCTCAATCTGATGATTTTTGACGAATGTATACACCCATGTATAATTTTCACCCTCGACAAGATGTAGAACCTTCCCAGCACCCATGAGAGTTTTCTCCTGTCGTTTCCCAATCTCTACCTTACAAGCAACCACTTTTCTGACCTCTATAACTAGAGATTTTGCCTATTCCATGTAAGTGGAATCATATAATGTGTTTCTTTGTGTTCAACTTTATTTCACTCAACATGTTTTTGTGATTATTCCATGATGTGTGGATTTGCTTTTTTATTGTTGAATAACATTCCATTGTGTGAAAATGCCACAGCTAGTTTATTTGTTCTCCTGGTGACAGAGACTGGGTTGTTTTCACTTTGGGGCTATTTAAAAAAATATATATTTTCTTGATTTCAGAGAGGAAAGGAGAAGGAGAGAAAGAGAGAAACATCAATGATGAGATAGAATCATTGATAGGCTGCCTCCTGCATAATCCCTACTGGGGATCGAGCCAGCAACCCAGGCATGTACTCTTGACTGGGAATCAAACCTGGGACCAGGCTGACGCTTTATCCACTGAGCCAAGCCAGCCAGGGCTGGGGCTATTTAAATCAAGTTGCTATGAACATTCACGTACAAGTCTTTGTGTGGGCATATATTTGCACTTCTTTTGGTTATATGTACCTAGAAGTGGGATTGCTGGGTCATGTGGTATGGATATGTTTAACTTTTTATTTAAAAAAAAACCAAAAAAAACTACCAAACATTTTTTTCAAAGCAGTTGTTCACATGTTTTTTGAAATAATGATATAATGGATACATTTTTCAATAGTGTCTGATTATACTTGGTATGTTCATCAACCAGGGGGAACAGATAAATGTACTCAATCAAAGGCTTCTGTAGACAATATAGTCCAGTTATGATTGGGGCTAGAGTGATTCTGAAAGGAGAATTCTTTAGAAAGCATCTCCTGCTGACTGCCAGATTCCTTCTCAATGTCCCCATCATACTCTGTTAACACTTCTAGCAAAACCATAAAAGAATAGTCTGCAGAATCCATATATTACAATCTCTTCATTTTACCCAAGAGGAAATCATGTGATTTCCCAAAAGTCAACCCCAGATCCTCTGACTCCTCTAATTGATATTATTTCCTTGCATTGTGTTGTCTCTGCATGTAATGGCATTCAGCTATTCAGCCATTGTTTAAGGAATACCTATATTGTGCTAGGTGTTAGGGTTAAAGAAATGAGTAAGAAAAAGTCCCATCCTAAAAGATCTTGTAGAAAGTACTATTCAACTCCCCTCATTTTATTATATTCACTAGAATGAAGTATTAAAGGGATCTTTAGTCTGAGCACAGGGGTGGCCAATGGTAAAGAAGCAATCAATGGGCTACTTCACCAGTTAAAGGAAGGCCACAGCATGACTTGATTGCCTGTTGTGTGCCATTTATTGGACTGGGTGCAAAAGGATAGCTTCTGCCCTCAGGAAGTTCAAGGTAGAATACAAGGATAGAGGCCACGCTTAAGACAATTCTGTAAACAGTATTGAACATCTGCACTATTTCAGGCTCTGATCTAGGTGCAGAGGATATGGTAGTGAGCAGAGCTGACAATCTTTCACATTTGCAAGAAATGTGTATGTCTCTGTGTGTGTTTTTTGAGATTTGCATTTGGTTCAGAATATATCTCTATGGAGGCCTTATGACTGGAGTAGTAATGCTAGTTGTAAATGCTAGTTTCTAAGATTGGGATGGGGTGGGTGGGTGAAGGCCACTATCATACATAGATTTTTAAGGGGGAGTGGGAAAATTTGATGTGTTTTATTCTCTTGCATGGAAGTGGTCAAAATGGAAAGCAATGCTTACTATGACTATGACAATTGAAATTGTCAATACACACTGGATTGCTTAGACAAGGAACCTCACCCCCTTTTAACAGGGGGATCATGTACTAGAACTAGAACTCTGGGAGAAAGAAGGCACCTCCCCAGAAAGCAAGTAACCTTATGATTTGGCCTTATTATTATTTTTTTCTTTAATTTCCTAATGCTCTTCTAGTCATGTTGCCAGAAAATTCTACTAATTTGTAAGAAAGGGCCTCTTGAGTTGTTGCCTAAACACTGATCAGATCAGGCTCCTCAGCTGGTCCTCAGAGCAGCACAGCATGGTTGAACTTTTACTTGGTAGGAGCTAATTGCTTGTCTCCTGAGCCTGCTGCTCATCCATACTATAGCCAAGCCACTTGGAAAAATCGTGCCAATAATATTTCATATTTGATCTGCAGCTATCACCTGTGTCACAATGGAAGAAACGAGTATGTGTGCCACCCCATTGCAGAAGCCTATAAAGACTGAGTGGAATTCTCGGTGTGTCATTTTCACCTATTTTCAAGGGGACATCGGCAGTGTAGTGGATGAACACTTCTCCAGAGCTCTGAGCAATGCCAAGAGCCCCCAGGAATTGAGCCCCGTGAGCCAGAATGGAGATGTGATCCTGAAGAATGGTGAGCGTGTTGTGGGGGAAGAGGCTGGAATTTCCAATCAAGGCTATCACTGAAAGATAGTTCTCTGATTCTTTTAATGCACATAGACATATATTATATTTGTTGAAGGCAAGCCACATTGTCAGAACGATGCTGGCATCCTTTTCTTAGAAGTTTAATATGATAATGGACACTGTTTAATTAAATTAGTTCACCTATTTCATTTTTTTCTCAATTGTGCCAAATGCTGACTGGATTAACTACTCGGTATACAATAAGAGCACCATAACTGTTTGCTATTATTACCTTTATCAGTATTATTATTATTATCATTATATTACTACTACTACTACTACTACTACTACTACTACTACTACTACTACTACTGGCCTCACAGGGGCAGGGAGACCAAAATATTCACGATAAAAAAAATCATGTCCCATATAGCTACACCCAAACTCCTCTCTACTAATTGTGGCTGATCTGATGGTCAGGGATGGGACCAGAGAGAGGTAGATGGAGCCTTACCACAACTCTCTTTGCACCCTTAGCAGTATCAGGGGTGGCTATTGCATTAACTATTTAGTAATTATTTTAAAATATACATTCTTATATCTCAAAACAATTATTTCAAGAGCTATGTAAAAATGTGTTCATCAAAATATATAAGTTTGGAGAAAGCCATAAATAAGCTGGCAATGCCTGCAGTATGGCTTTTATGGACCCCAGACACTTTGCTTCATAGGCCCATTCCTCCATAAAGATATGAAAAAGGACATTTTGTCCTAAAATGGCATAAAAACAGATATAATCCAGGCTGCATTCATTTTATATATCCATTATAATTATATTTATTTTTTCTACCAATTTTAAAAGCAATTAAAATATTTATTTTCATGGGCTCCTAAAAGTGTTCATGGGCCCAAGACATTTTACCTGCTATGCTTAATGGAGAAGTCACCTTGCCAGATGGATGTGATTTGATAGGGCTCTTTACCATCTTTTTGAAATGTGCAAATAGACCAGGGTCTGATTGATTTTTTTAAAAATCTGTTTTTATAGATTTTTAGAGAGAGAGGAAGAAAGAGGGAAAGAGAGAAAAACATCTGGCCCTATGACCTGTGACCTTTCGGTGCATGGGATCATGCTCAACCAACTGAGCTACGCCATCCAGGACAGGTCTGATTGATTTAAGAGCTCTTCATTGCAGTTGCTGAACACACACTGAATGCCTTGCTTCCACTGGAAAATGTACATGCCTCCAAATTGAACATTTTGTGCAAAGTAGACATGCAGGGCCTCAGGTCCCATAGAAAGAGCTCCTCTGTTTTTTAGATGCCATCACTCTGACTTTGTTCTTTGGGTTTGAACAAGGAGTTGGTATACATCTGATGTATTTACTAACATTTACAGAATTTACTTTTCTTTAAGAAATTTATTTTCCGCCGAAACCAGTTTTGGCTCAGTGGTAGAGCATCTGACTGCAGACTGAAGGGTCCCGGGTTCGATTGTTGTCAAGGACATGTACATTAGTTGCGGGCACATCCCCAATAGGGGTATGCAGGAGGCAGGTGGTCGATGTTCTCTCTCATTGATGTTTCTGACTCTCTATCCTTCTCCCTTCCTCTCTGTAAAAAATCAATAAAATATATATTTTTTAAAAAGAAATTTATTTTCCACTCAGGAGATGTGATTTTCTTAGACTCTTGTCAATTAAGTAAACATGTGGAAGGTGATGTGGTAGTAGCATATAATAAATGAAATGCTATAGATCTTGTTAGAATGGGAGCAAGGAGGTAGAAGAAGAGGTGAGGAGGTGATGTTCAAGAGTGTGCTGAGTACTTCAGAGTAGGAGAGGGAATGATTGATCTCGAGTCATTTGGGGAATTGCTAGGTGGCAACTGGGATTCATCTATCTGGCTCCAAAGAAGGGACAAAACCCCAGGCTCTTTATGCACAGACAAGATATTACTAATTTTGATTCTTTGATTTAAATCTAAATACATTGGCTTGAATTCATTACAGTCATTCCTTTGTAAGTACCATCCATCCATAGTTCCTCACTTCCTTTATTCTGCTTGCCTGGTAAAACCCAACCTGAGATAAAACCAATTCTTAGCCTATTGATCCATTTCTGTGCTTCATTTTGTAGTAAGATTCAAAAGTAGTGTCCATGCACACTCTGTCCTCTTCCTCTCCTCTCCTGCTCTCTAGAATCCACTCCTCAAGTTTTATCCTCATCACTCCTTGAAATTACTTTTATCAACATGAGCCAGTGACCTCCACTTTCCAACTCCAATAGTCCTCTATCCTCATCTTATTTGACCTATGAACAACATTTGCTGCAGTTTATTACTCCCTCCTTTTTGGAAATACCTCCTTCACTTGGATTCTATAAAATCATACTCTTCATTTTCCTCTTACTTCCCTGTTTACTACTCCTCAATCTCCTTTGCTGGATGTTCTTTTCTCTTCAACTTCTAAATATTTGATGCTCCAGGACTCAGGTCTCAGACAAATTCTCTCTCTATATTCATTCCCTACGGGATCTCTTTCTTCTCTTGGTTTTAAATGCCATCTGTATGCTAATAAATTTCAAATGTATATCTCCAGTCAAAGATGGATTTCAGACCCACTTATTTAGCTACCTACTTGATACTTTCACTTTATGCATCTAATAGGAATCTCAAAAAAAACCAACACACACACACACACACAAAAAGTCCCAAGCTGAACTCTTAATCTTCTTAATCTGCTTCATTCATAGTCCCTCCATCTCAGTAAATGGTAGCTGCATCTTTGTAATTAATTGGAGTCATGTTTAACTTCTCTCTTTATCTCACAACCCATATCCAATTATTAAAAAAATTCTGTAAGTTCTACCTTCAAAATATCTCCAAGGTCTTTCTACTTCACCCCATCTTCACTGCTATCGCCTTGGTCCATCATCTCTCCCCTGGATTTTTGCAGTAGCCTCTGCCCTTGCTCTCCTTCAGTCTATTCTCATGATAGAAAACAGAATATACCATTAAGTAAAAACCATATCATAGCACTCTCCTGTTCAAAACCCTCCAACAGCTTCCCATCTCACTTGAAATCAAATCCAAAGTTTTTAACGGGGCCCTACCTCATCTGGGCCCATTATTTTTCTGATCTCATATCCTGCCACTTCCATTCTTATTCACTCTGGTCTATCTACATTGTTATTTGTAGAATATGCCAAGTACAATCCTGCCTCAGACCCTTTGCAACTTCTCTCCCCTCTCCTGAAATGCTCCTTCTCCATAAAACTACATGATTTATCCTTTCTTCATTCAAGTTTCCATCCGAATGTCCTCTCATCATGCAATCCTTCTCTGAACAATCTATTACAAAATAGAACCCCAAACTCTGTGCCTTACCTTTTTAGCATTTGTCACCATCATGCATCTACACTAATAAAAGAGAAATATGCAAAATGACCATACCTTCATGATGCCCACCAGCTAATCAAGAGTGAATATGCAAATTAACCCAATAAATATGGCGAGTTAATTTGCATACACAGGTGCCCAGAGGCCAGCACTGAGCCAGAGAGAAGGCAGAAAGGCAGCTCCAGGCGGGAGCAAAGGTGGTGCAGGCAGCCAGGGGAAGGAAGGCCCATTCTTGCATGAATCTTCATGCATTGGGCCTCTAGTATTATATATTTATGTGCATCTTGTCTCTCCCCACATCCTATACTCTAAATTTCATGGCAGCAGGGACTCAACCTGCTAACTGCTGCTTTCCAATGACCTAACCCAATGCCTGCCTGACACATGAAAGGTGCTCAAGAAATATTGCTTGGATTAATGAGATTGTGATTTGGATCACAGGGTATTCATGTCTGCCATAGATAGAATCACTATAGAGAGGGCGTATCATGTGGTATACAGTTTTAGTACTAGGCAGTCTGGGACCAAGCTAGCTTCAACATTTATTAACAATGTGATCTCATGTACATCACTTCATCTCTTTGTGCCTCAGTTTCCTTATCTCTAAAATTGAGTATTATTTAACTCCAAGAGTCAATAAGATAATTCATGTCAAATGGCATATAATAAGTGTCATGCAGGTGTTAGTAGTGGTGGCACCAAAGCTTGACATGTGTTTTTGATTGTCTAGAGTGGATATGAGTGCCTATGTTCAAAACATTAGAATCACAGAGCAGCAGGCCCTGCTGTAAGTCTCCAAGTTGTCCCGGGGCTTCTGCTGTGTGGCAGCTGTACTGTTTCTCGTGTATTTTGACTTCACTCTATTCCATAAAGCCCTGGTCCACTAAAGCTCTGGCTCATGGCCATTGGTTGCCCACGCCAGCCTTCCCAAGCCAAACAGAGAGGCAGTTTTCATCTCCACCTAACTTCTTGTTTGTTGCATTTTCTCTGAAGTGAATCTCAGATCCTTTGACTGTGAAGATGTCCCTCATAGAGTGTAGTGTGGACTAGGCAAATGTTTGTACAGCTAGTTGTGCAAAGGAAGGATAAAGCCAGTCAAGGCTTCTCTTATTGCAGCTAGGAGTCATGGCTCTCATAAGCTCTGCCTCAGAAGAGGGCCACATGGTTCTCACTGTTGATGTTATATGAGATACCTGTAGCCTCAAAAAGAATGAGAAATCTGTAAGGTGGCCATTCCTGACTGCCCATTAGCATCCTCTGAGATCCTGAGCCATGCCTAGAACAGGCTTCCATTCACGGACTCCCAGCACTGACTGGCCTACATTCTAAGGGTGCTCTGCCAAGCCAAATATGCAAATCCCAAACATAGGTCTCTGTGGCTAGAAAATGCCATAGAATTTCCTGGCTGCTTTTCACAAATCAAAATTGTTGTAGTTGTTGTTTAAGTAAGTTTACTTAAATATAATTTATACTGGCCATACTTTTCCCTTTAAAAAAAGGACATTGATGATTTCATAATAGATAACTCAAGAAGCTTCAGTAGTTACCATTATGGAAGGCACAGTCCTGCTGCACATCCCACCCCACATTCTTCCTGTTGCACCCCCA